AAAGCGCATAGAGCCTGCTGTTGAGCGGGGATATGCGCTATACAAATGCTATCTATTATTATTATTATTATTATCAGTTACGATCCGAGTATCTCAAAGGTTGAAGCATAATTATTATATGGATGACAAATAGGTTAGCAATAGAGAGGGTAGAGTGTGAGAGAGAAGAGAGGGAGAGAGAGGCCGTGTGTGTGTATGCCTGTGTGTGTATGTGTGTATGTGGGTGTGTATGTGTGTATGTGTGTAGGTGGAGAGGTGGGTGGGTATGTCTGTGTATGGGTATGTTGGTATGTGTGTATGTGTGTGTATGTTTGCGTATGTGTGTGTATTTGTGTGCATGAATGTGTCTATGGGTGTGTGCATGTGTTGTTGTAAAGAGAATACCAGGAAGGATATCAACAACAAAAATAACTACTAAAGACAATGTTATATCGTGTTGGTTTGTGTGTGTGTGTTTGTGTGTGTGCGTGTGTGTGTGCGTGTGTGTGTGTGCGTGTGCATGTGTGTGTGCGTGTGCATGTATGCTTGCGTGCATGTGTGTTCACTTTTGTGCATATGAAAATAATACAAGAGAACAATTATATTCAAAATAAAAACTAATAAATGACGTAGACTAAACAAAAAAATGGGGGTTCTCGTGGCCTAGAGGTTAAGGTGTTCGCCTCTCACTCAGTACGTCCCGGGTTCGAATCCGGATAGCGACGGAAATTTTTGTTCTCTAAAATTGTCTCCTTTCACCTCCTTTCTGGCTCTCTAACAATGTTCTGCCGTCTGGTTTCGCTTCCACTTTCTGCCCCCAACCGCTCACCTACTTTGCCCTCTCTTCTAGGCTCCTGACTCTTTCTACCGCCTTTCTTCGGCTACTCCCTGGCTCCTTCTTACTGCCGTCTTTTAGCCACACCCCTTATCTTATGGTAGGAAAGATCTACACATAGCCCTCTCGGACAAAGGCGAAAAATCCCAGATTCCCGTTTGCAAGTTGCGCACGTTAAAGATCCCTTGGTGGTCCAAAATCGATAAGAGTAAGCTTCAACCGCCACCTTGGCAAAATTTTTAATGTTCTACCAACTGAAAATGTTTAATGTGTCCCACGCGCCCATATGGCCCATCTTTCCTATAACAAATCTATCGTCTCTATCTCCTCTCCTTCTTTTTAGTGTTTATTACTCTCTGATAACATCTCTAATCTTCGGCACTTATATGACCTTATTGTGTTGCAAGTGCTGTAAAACTCTGACTAAAACTAGAGAGGGGAAGGTGGGAAAGACAAAGAGAAAAATTGAGAGACCATGGGCGTAATCGCACATTACTATAATGTACTTGTTATTAATCTTGTGAGTAACAGAAACTGGAAAACCCGGATTGCCAATTACTTCCAACAGACAACGACCGGCATATTTTAAATATCTCTCTCTCTCTCTTCTATTATGATAATATCTTAGTATTTCGATAATACCACATCTTGTCCACAGTGTTGGGGTCACTACAGTCTGAACATGCCCACCTCTGCCCCCCCCCCCTCTTCAAGATCCATCCCAGAGTCTGTCTGCTTATAAGTATTTTGTATAAAAGGTCGACAAGTACAACAATGGAAACAAAAAAGATGGTTGATGGTAATCTCTATCTGGAATGTTCACGTACTTCACATACCTGGAAGTAGGCAACAACTCTCAGGGAAAAGGTAGCCAAGTAGAGAGAGAGCATTAGGAAGTCCAGCCAATTCCACCACTGTCGGATGTACGCTTTCAGGCCCTCGTCCCACAGTTGTTTGCATTCTGCCCATACAAAACCTGAGGAAAATATGGTTTGAGATAATAAAGTAGAAAGCTGTAGTCCATAGTTCTCAATCATCATCATCACCACCACCATCATCATCATCATCATCATCATCATCATCATCATCATCATCATCATCATCA